AGGTTTTCACGAATAGAATCATTGTAAATAACAGAGGTTCTGGAGCACTAACTAATACGACACTACACCTATACAACTATACAATAAATAATAATCGATCTAAAAATGACAGAAAGTTTATAAAGATAACTATATAGGAAGGATAGGAATATGTCCTGTGTCGGGGGGGACCATACAATTATTCATGAAACACCTAGACTCAGAACAAGAATTTGTGGATCACACAAAGTTTTGTCCTTGGGGATCGAACCCACACACTTAGCGTAGTAGCAAACGGCAAGGCGACCGCTGAACCACCATTTTACGCCAGCCGTGCAGTCAATACCGTCTGTTTGTACAATTCTGATTTATCTAGTTCTAATTGTTTGCGTCCATAATCTTTGATTGCCTGAACTATTTTTCTTTGCTTTTTCTTTATTTGTAGCACATAACACAAATTGTTCCACGTCGCAAATCGCCGCGATTTCCGCTGGTGACTAAACATAATCACGCATCTTATTTATAAGAGTTTCACCATTAATAGCAGAGTAATCAGGACTTTTTTAACGTAACTATGTGATTGCGAATAATCGGCTCGTAACACTTTATCGAGTAATCGATAGAAAGCTCGCACACTGCCACCTTTTATGGTAATCTCTTCTGTTACATTGTGACATTTTTCTGAGAGGTTAAACAGGAAATGCTTTCTTGAGTATCCTCTTGTTAACTAAGTTTATCTAGTACTTACCGACCTATGGGGAAATTAATAATAATAATAATATAATATAATAATATAATATATCTCGCACACTCACACACGGCCGTCTGATTCCAAACTAGGCAGAGCCTGTACTATGGTAACCAGACCGCTGATAAACATACTTATATATTTCTAAATAGATACATATTATAGATAAATTACACCCAGACACAGAACAAATGACCGTGCTCATCACACAATTATTTGTTCTGGGTGGGAATCGAACCCACGACCTCTGGCGTAGCAGTCAGGGTCACTAACCACTAGACCAACAGGCCAGTCAAATTAAAATATATATATATATATATATAAAATAACTAAGAGTGTTAAATAGTCAATAGCAGTTTTTTAAATAAAAACAGTCTGTCACGAAAGTGCTATGGTTAAATTTTTAGTTAATTGCGGTTTTGGCTGCAGCCCCGTTTCGACTGACGCTCTGAATCTAAACGGGGCTCATCTCTCCCCTACTCCATGAAAAAAGTTATAAAGAATTAGTTAAAAGCTTTAAGTGGTTGGTGGTTTTACCTAATTGTGAACCGTAGTTTGAGCCAAAAGTTTTGATTGCAACAGAAATAGACTAGATTAGATACAGACTAAAATATAGATATTAACTTTTAGTAACTAGTATCTTGAATAAAAAAAAGTTACTATAATTATATAATATTGCAATATAATTGAAACGATCGGTACATAATGAACATCTAAGAAATTTTACATCTATAGAAATAAATAAAATTGAAATGTCTGTTTGCAATGTCAAAATAATAGGTTTTTTTCATGCTCACACGATTATTTGCACGATACCTATGCCTAAAAACCAGTTTAAACATTTTTTGCGTGTCTGTCTGTTTATTCTGGGTAATCTTCAAAACGGATGGACCGATTTTGATAATATTTTACTTTCAGGTAGCTGTCTATATAAGGAGTAACTTAGGCTATTTTTTCTACCAGAAAAAACCTATAAAGTTTTGCCCGTTACGGGAACCAAGCCCACTAAGACAGCGCTTTTCTTATTCCACACGAACGAAGTCTCGGGCACCAGCTAGTAATAAATAGGTAAAGATGTCGGGCCAGTTGGCCCAGCAGCATCCTGACTGCTATGCCAGAGCTCGTTGATTCCATTCCCTACTTTTTTTTGTTGACGGGGTGGAAAATCCCTTTGGATTTCCTAGTCCTTGAGAACTCAGGAGCTAGGAGCATGTGTTGATACAGACTAAAATAGACGCCCTACTCTGGGAAGATCCGGACCACATGACTTCAGGTCCTCCCCGATTTGACAGCGAGCCTATTTGGGCCCTTCCCATCTAGGATAAATATTGTGTGATGTGTATGATCATTTGTTCTATGTCTGGGTGTAATTTATACAAAATATGTATATATTTAAGTGAATATAGAAATATGTGTGTATTAGATGTCCGGATGACGGCAATGTAATTATAGCTTTGCCCCTAATTACATAAATGAAACTAAAATACCTATAGTCAGCAAAAAATGGGCGTTTTAGTACGACACTGTCTTTTTTTTAAAAAAACTACTCGCATTAGGAATATATTCCTGTGTTGCGGGGAACTTTAGAAACATATATGAAACGGACACAAAGAACACCCATACTTAGAACAACAATTTGTGGCTTACTCAAAGTGTTGTTCCATGTGGGTATCAAACCCACAACACTCAGCGCAGTAGGAAGCGGCGAGGTGACCGCTTAAACCACTACGCCATCCGTCTAACTCTGCCTATCCGTTTGTACATCACGGTGTCATGTTCAGTTAATATATTTCCTCGATATTTCCACAGCTTCAAAACGCTCGCCAATAATTAACTCAAACGCATGGCCGCAATGCGCACGCGCAACACAAGCTCTCGTTATTTGCTAATTACAATCACGGAACAAATTTACCACTAGGTATTTAATTTCATCATCATCTTCATCTGTTGTACTAGCCACCTCTTCGATTACAGAATGGGAAACGGGTTAGGATTGCCAGATGGAAACTGATTGTGTCCAGGACAATACCATCTCGGGCCGCGCCAAAGAAAAATATATGGAACTAAATAGCCCACCTGTTTAATTTATATCTATTGGATATGTTGTGTATTTTTAATTTTTATATCCAAATACATACTTTTATTAGATAGTTACGTAATAGTTAACAGAGTAAACAATTAACGCCAGTAATAATATTATGATGAAGAATTTTATAATGACTCAAAAACCGAAGTGCCATCAAAAGTGAAAACTTATTTACAGAGGTGTCGGTAACGGTAACAGTGTCGCGAGTTCAATAATTTTTTAAACATCTTAAAAAATTACCAACGCTCCTAAAGAAATTTTCGCTACAATATATACAGAGGTGTCGGTAACGGTAACAGTGTCGCGAGTTTAATGGTTTTGCCCATCTCGAAACAAAAATACCTACATTACTTTGTTTTTTGTTCAATAACGCCCAACGCACGTTTTTTTTTTTTTTTCCCGTGCGGAAATCCCCTAATCCTATGCCCAACGCACCTAAAGAAGTTTTTACTTCAAATACACGTCTCCCATCCATGACTTGCAATATGCCTTGCCTATTGAGTTGCACTTGTCTATGGGCAGTGGGATTCACTCACCTCAACTTTGCTATTTTAATATTGTATCATAAGACTGTCGATGAACTATCGTCGGAATAGTTTTGCACTTTTCATATTCTACTAACAATGTAAGACCAATAGCTTGTCACTGATACTAATGTCGTCGATGTCTTTGTAATAGTTTGGTAAACGGTACATTATTACATTTGTAAGAAAATTAAATCTATAGCAATGTTGTTGATATCACTATTGAGGAGCTATTGTTACTACATCGACAGTCAATTGACAATATAAATGTATGTTAGTAAAATACCGATATTTTGACCGATGTTAATGGCATCTCAATATCGCGTCAATAGAATCACAGTGGCTTGTACGTTAACATAAGCAGAATTGAGGCCCTGGTCCTTTGCCGCGTATTATGATGTAAAATAAAATAAACCCTCATAAAAGTCGTATATTAATGCCGCCTAGTCCCACAAACCTTTGATTAATATCCAGCATATGAAGAACTCTAAAAATAGGATTTAGGTTTTTAGGTTTTAGGTTTATTTATATCACCCCACTCTAAGAAACCAGTGAATAACCTTTGAAATGACAGGTTCCTAAATTAAAATGTAGTGGAATTGTTTTTTTATTGAAACAGTATTTATATGGTATCATAAACTGTTATTAAAACGCAAACTGTGTATGAAAGAAGTAGCTTAAGAAAGACGCTTTCTTTTCGAGGGTCTTCCCTGAATTAAAGAAAAATAGATCCATAATCTCCAGGCTCTATTTTTTGATTACTTAAAACCTTTCGTGCATTAAGCACACGAAAGCAAGCGCGGAGCAGATGTAAGATGATCTCAGTGTGTACTTAATAAATATTGAATTCTATAACATAGCTGAATAACAAAAAACCTATCAGATACGGGAATACGTAAGAGAAATATGTGAAAATAATCAATGACTAGCACATTGAAAACACAACCACACATTTGGTTTATTTCACTTTCATTTACGTATCAAGATTTCACCAGCTGATTATCGTTGCATTTTCTATAGTTAGTTTTCGTGATTGGCCGTTAAAGTATCGATGCACACCTTCACTCGATAAACGAAAGAAATCGATTCTGTGGTTATTTGATCGAGTCTGTAATGCCGGATACGCATATGCATTGGCTCCACCATAAGTAATAAAGTAGAAAATGTTAAATTTGAATAAGTATTGCTATTTTTATCAAGTTATAAACATGAATTTAAAACACCTTCGCGGTTCAAGGGTAACAACGACAATCTACGACTATCTGTAAATAAATTATACCTAACCAACAAAATTGTTTTCATTGCGATATTCCATATTTTACTCAAAATTTGCTTACAAAATCTCCAAAATATAAACCAGGTTTGTTTATTTATAACCAATCGACGCCCCAATTCATCGGCCAAGAATAAAAAAACAAAATGGAGGTAATCAAAATTTACTCTTAGCTAAAATAGCACTATAGGAAGTTAATTTACGTATCCACTGACCGTAACAATAATTCAAAGAAACACAAATTATTCACTTTCTCTTTAAATATACGAGCTCTTTAAAACGTTAATTAAACACATAATTATCAAATAAAATATCAAACTGGTTAAGCTATCAATGATGTCGTAAGAGCACACACAGTCCAAAATAACGCGTTTTCTTTTCTCTTTACAGATGAATCCCGTGATACGAATGAGCGTCGTACTGTGGCTGATCTGCGCCGCAGTTGCAGAGACCACAGAACAAAACTCTACTTCCACCACAAAAGCGATTCGCACCACAATATTACCATCGAGGACCACAAGGACTGAACTCAAGGTCTCCAGAAGCCTTAACCCACTCGATACACAAACTCTTAACGTGAGAACAAAATCTGGTCATATGACGCAATTAATTGTCAAAAAGAAAGACAAAACCACTACTTACGCCAGCAGTACTACTGCGTCCCCAACCACGGCCTCTCTAAGAACAACAGTTTCTAATTTTAATAGTACGTCGGACGAAATAAAAAACAAAACAGAAGCACGCGACCAAAGAAAATTAAATTTCATGGGAACAGTCAACAGTGATTTAGCTGGATACGATTATTACCAAAGCCGTATCAAAAACCCTGAAGAATTAAGTGACGTTCAGGCAGAGTACGGTAACTGGTCGCCAGTATCTGTTTATCCTGAATCTCATATTCAAGAGGATGGCCGAAAACCTGAATCTGATCCTGAAACGTCGAATTATTATCCCACTTATGATAATGACAAGCAGACGGAAAACAAAAAAGTGTATATTACTTCAACTAGCCTTTTTGACTATGGCGGACGTATTAAAAGCTACAGATTTGACCCACACAATCCAGTTATCAAAAATGATAGGAACCCTGTTTATATTGAAGTGGTGAGCACTAAAGTCTCTGAAGGTGACGGTAAGTCCTTCAAAGTACCAGATCCAGTCATGGTAAGCTCAGACGAATCGTACATTAAGAAAGCTATTGAAAAGTTTAACAAACGTGGAAGGTCCATACTTACCCTCGGAGAAGACGGAATCCCAGAAATTCAAGGTGTAAGGATGCCTGACGATGAGTCTGACAAAAAAACATGGCGTAACGCAAGAGTCGTGAACGGAGAGTTGCTCCCTTATCCCGAAGGTTATACTCCATCAAAGGCTGTACCTGAAGCCGATGTATATCCCAATATTGGAGATGCAGATCCCTCACAAAGTTTCGGTCCTTTCACCAAGGAAGACAACTTTGAACAAAAGGATGGGCCATTCACTAAATTTGATAATTTGAAATTCGAAGCGTCTGACGCTGACCCATTCTTGACTAGCGAGAACTCAGCATACTCATACAAACAGAAAAAAGACAATTACTATCTTAAGCCTGGCTACGGTCCTTTCACTAAGGCTGACAATTCAAAAGTTGCAAATTCAAAGCTCATCGAGTATATCAAACAGATTAACGAACAAGAATCAAAACGCGACTACTTTAGTGGACGGAGCTCGAAGTCGCATAATGGTGATCTTGAATACGCAGAGAGTCATATCCAAAGGCGGATGCTCCAACATCCCGGAGAAACGAATTTCCCAAACTCCGCAATGTACACTCCTAAAAATGCGAAGCCAGGTTTCGACGAAAGCGTAAGAAATCCTGTTCTTCAGTACGCTCATCCTGACTTGGGAGTGCAGCCTGCAAAATCTCCTCGTGATAACTTGGAAAATTACGAAAACAAAGAACGTAAAATTAAATATTACACTAACAATATTCCAAAAAGTGCTCACCCTTATCCAATGGAGCCAATCAATGGTTATGGACAGCAACGTTCTCAATCTTCCATTAACGCCAATAAATACTACGAAGATGAATACAACAAGTTTTCTTACTACGACAACAGTTACAGCCCACACCTGGCGAGATACCCATACGGTAACTACGCCTACATTAAGCGTGTGCCTGAACCATCTCTCTGGAAGAGATTCACGGACTCTATGAAGGACACAATAAACACTGCCAGCTCAGCTGTTCAGCAATTCACACGGCCAATCATTGAACCCATTGCAAAAGTTACACAACCTGTTTTTGACCCAATTGTCGAAGCAACTCATAAAATCTCTTCGAACTTAGGTCTATACCATTCAAATAGCATTCAAACTCAGAGATATGCTCAGGATAAAATTGGCATAGTTCCTTCTGGAGCCCCCGGTATGCTGCCAGCTATCGGCCTCATGGCTGGTGGAGCAGCATTAGGTCTAGGTGCAGTTGCCATGGGTCGATATTTAGATGTTAATCTAATGCGTAGTGCCGGTGCAAGTGAAGAGGAAATTCAAGACGAACTAGAGAAAGAGCACAAGAGAGCTTTAGGAGCAACCTACGATATTGATAAACAGATTTTAAGTAGTCAGAAAGTTTATGATGACAACTACAAGATGCCCAGTGAAAACGTGTACGTTGTAATGTCACCAGACGCAGTGACGACCAGGTCTAAGCGAGACGTGATGGGCTTCTTGCAAGAGCCAATATACGAAGGTGCGAGGTTAAGAAGGGTAAAGCGGAAACACCTCGTGAAAAGGTCTCTTCATGAAGACTTTGGCGATGACTTACAACATTTAGACAGTTCTTCAAGCTCGTCTTCTCTTACGTCAGCAGCAATGCACTTAGTGAAACAGACTGATTGGAGAGACTCTCAGTGTGCAAAGTTCACTTTTTGCAAAGTGCTTACGTCACAGCCTTCAGATTCTATCTTCGTGATGGAGAAGAAAATGGAGTCTTTACTAAAACTGTAAGTAGCTTAAATTAATATATTTACAGTCTCTTACCCACACCTCCATTGAAGTCTGTTTCTATAAACTTGATGTCATATGCAAGCTTTATGAATAAGCTCCATTATTTTACCACATTACGTTTCTATAAACAATAGCTTCTTGCACAACTTCGGTCACGACATTTTCTGAGAACCTTTACACTGAGAGCCCTTTACTTACAATCTGATAAATATCACCAGTAATCGTGCGGCAAACTCAACAGTATCAATAGCTAAATCATTTCATTGTATAAGTTCCAAATGAGGTTAGTTTAATCGATCTAAGTGGCGTGCAATGGGAGAGGCCTATGTCCAGCAGTGGACTGCGATAGGCTGATGATGATGATGATGATGATGAGGTTAGTTTTTCGAAATCACCAACAATCAATGTTTCAAAAACTTGATAGACATATTAGCAAACAGACATATTTTAAAGTTAGCTAAAAGTCTTTAAACCCGTGGTAGAAAAATAGTAAAAGGAAGTTTTTTTTTACATTTTTTGACACTTCCATTATTGGTCTTCTTTCAAGCTCTAGAATTTAATTAACACTATGACTGCAAATAACCCCCCAAGAGTTAGAACTGTGACACAAAAAAACTGGTGGTGAACATACCCTGGCGGTTACAGTAAAGCGAGCTAAACACTTCAGCCACCATATGATGCTATGACTGCAAAAAACCCCCCAAGAGTTAGAACTGTGACACAAAAAAACTGGTGGTGAACATACCCTGGCGGTTGCAGTAAAGCGAGCTAAACACTTTAGCCACCATATTATATACACAGTGATTTCATTGAAAACTGCTAATAGAATGCACACAGGCTTATAAAATATATATCGCTTCAATGAAACGTTTTTTAAGATACATTTACTATTTCAAGGTGTGGCAGCACCCTTGTTTTCTAAAACTATTCGTTGACACAGCATTGTCCGACTCCAACACCATAGTTCACATCTCATAGTTCGAGTCTAGGAAAGCCCTAGATGGTCATAAATGTTTTGCGTACCTTTCATGTATTCTGGCTCTAGTAAAAAGACACGGCTTAGACGCGCTTTGATGCCACTTCTCTTCATTAAGTTAGTAATTTTTCGGTATTTGTAATAGTATTGTGATCAGATTCCTTCGTCACATGCCTTATATGAAACAATACCAATACAAATGTCACCTGACAAGTATTATATAAGGCTTGCAGTTGCATGCAATACACACAGCAACAGTCAGCGACCAACGGACTTATAGAAACCGAGTGAAAGCGACAGTCACCCGACTGATGCTTACACACACGTACCTGATAATACGTCATTAGTCGATAACAGGACTTCAGACAAGTCTACATGTGTTCGATATGTCTAACTAGGATGGCAGACGCGGAGAAAGTGAGGGCTTATCTTGCAACATGGATTATGAATTGTATATTATCTGTTTCACAGGCACTGGGTTGCCAGTTAAATATAAATTAGGATTTTTATGTAAGTTTAAGCTTTGAACATGTTAAATGTGTTAATGGTTGTATTATGATGCATTTAGATAAGTATATCTACAAAAAAGTACTGTAGAAAGAAGTGTTACTTACAGTAAGTGAATAATAATTAATATATTTAAACGTTTATACGGTCCAGGCCACTGACACTTCGATTTTAATATCTTTACATAGTATAAAATAAAGTTGCTTTTTTTTCTTGTACGCTTAAATTTTTTAAAGTAAGCAACATGTTTAAATGCGGTTTTCACCAATAGAAAGAACGATTCAAAAGAAATGTTTATATGTATAATACATGAATATTATAGTAGAGAAAATATGAGAATTTCAAAGTTTTTTTTTTGTAATATACTCGTACATGTTTTTGTGTGGTTACATTGCAAACGCTGGCTAAAAGCTTACGAGATAGATCAAAATAATGTACTACGGAATTGCATATCTTCAAAAGATCTACAAAAAATAATAATAATATGTCTATAAGTTTGTGACTCCTGTGTTGCAGACGTTCATGGGCGGTGATGGTCACTTTCCATCAGGTGACCCGTCTGCCCCCTCTGACATAAAAAAATAAATAAAAATAATCAGTTTGCGCGCTACATGAACTAGCTCAAATAAGTAATGTAAGTTCTGTTCTGACTGCGTACCATGGCTTAGTTATCTCGGTATTAAGGTACGGTATAATTTTATGGGGAAATTCGACAGATAGAGATATTATTAGTGATGTGCCGGATATCCGTATCCGTATCCGCAGATATCCAAGGGAGAAGAGAGATCCGTAACCGTATCCGTATCCGTGACTTTTTTGGCGGATCTTTCAATACATAGATGAAATTCTATATAGGTGATTTTGTATTCACTGTAAAACTCTTAGGTATGTGTTTGTAACACTATAAACAGCAACTTTTTTTCTGGCCAAAGTCAAAATGAAAAAAAATTGGTCCTCCATTCAAATGACCAATCAAATGTTGTTAGTTTGTATGGAGGAACATTTTTTTTTTCTTTCGTTTTCGGTGTTAGTCCAGAAGAAAAGTTGTTGTTTATAATGTTACTAATATGCACTTCAGAGGTTTTCAGTAAATTTAAAATAATCCTGAATAATGGTTATTAGGTAGCTATGAAAAACTATTGAATTCTGTTCAGATTACTTTTTATTTCTTAATCCAAATATTTGGCACCTTTGTATTGCAATCATTTATCGTACTGTACTAAATCTACTAGGCAGGTCGTAGGTACTGAAAGAGCTATCTTTATAATGAGATCAATCAAACATCTTTGTATTAGCTTATTAAAATAATGAAATATTTAAATATCAACGGCAAAGCGTCAAGTGGCGACAACAATCAAGATCACGGGCTCCCATTGAGTAAGAAACTTAAGATCCGTATCCGTATCCGTATCCGCGGATCTTGACACTAAATATCCGTATTCGGATCCGTATCCGCGGATATACTTTGTTAACGATCCGGCACATCACTAGATATTATTTTCAAAATGCAGAAGAGATGTGTTAGAGCTATGTTTGCCTTGAAAACTACAGATAGCTGTCGTTCGTATTTTCTTAAATACAAGCTATTAACTTTTCCCTGCTTGTACATATTCGAAGTGTCTATGTTCGTTAAACGTAATCCAGGTTTTTTTTATGTTAGCTTCATATTTATATACCAAACGACAGCGAGATGTGCATCGACTGCTGCACACAAAAACTAATACTGCATTGTTGCGTAAAAGCATTTAGGTAGCAAAACTCTTAGGTATATATAGCAATCTGCCAAAAACAGTGAAGGAAGCAGACTATAATATGTTCAAGAAAAAATAAAGGAATTATTGGTAAACAAATTCTATTATACTCTAACAGATTATCTAAACGACAAATTACATGATCATATTTAAGCTAATTTATAGTTTTATTAGCTTAACGTCTCCTTGCGAACAATAATTACTCTTAATTTTTGCTCGTTGCTTTGGTTGTAATGGCAAAACATTTCTTAGAGTCCATCTAATCTAAGAGGTACTTTGACGTTTCATACTTTTCAAGACGAAACAACTTTGTATAGGCGTAACTCAAACAATTTCACAAACCTTTTCGCATAATTAAAATTAAAAGTATATGATATGAGTTAATGTAATTTTAAATAAATCTTTTTATGCAAAATCGCTCGTGTCCAGGTCTAGTAGCATATTTGCTAAGATTTAGTATGATGCGCCATTCCACGGGTTTTTATAGGTAACATACATAAACCTAAAACTGTAATCGATTAGTAAATATGTGGAAAGAATTGTACATAATTATTTTATTCATACCAATGACACATATCCAAGTCTAGTGTATACTAAAATTTAGTACTAAAATCTAAGATAAACTAATACACTCTTGCCGATTACATCATTTTACAGTAACATACATAAATCTGTCAAACTGTAATTGATTTGTAAATACAAAGAATTTATATAGAAATCTCTTCAGAATCGGATATTGCAGTAATCGATTTTTTTGACTCCATCCCTATTCTCCAATCTGTCAGAACTGTCAAACGGTACTTCTTAGATTAGATCTAGTACAATCCTTGGAAAAAACGAGGTATAGTTCATATCGCCGTCTAAATAAATAGTTCCTAATTCAAACACGTGACAAAAACAATAAAAGTAAAATTTACATTCGTCACATCCGACGTCTGAATGCAACACTTTCTCTTTCGTCCGTTCGTCGATCTGTCCATCACGTAACCTCACTTGTACATGATCATTTTACTAATACAACGCATACGCAACAAATGGAGTAGAAACTGTAAAGGTATTTATTCAAATCAATTGATTTTGTTAAAGAAAGTAAATGTAAATGTGCGTAAATTCCATCAACCTTAAAATTTACTACGACCACAGAGTGCATAGACAACGAGAGGATTTTTTAAAAGAGTTTTTATGTCCATTTGTCACACAGTTTAAAAAAATCCAATATCTAATGCCATGTCCTAAGCAATCTTGTGCATTTAAAAGCAGCGTAATTAGATTCCCCTGTTAAAAATGTTGCCTTTAGAAATGGGTCTATTCTCAATATTTGCGGCCAAACAACTATAACCAACATTATAATAACTAATATCAAACATAGGTTTTATGTTCCCTTCTTAGTTAAAAATACAGAGTAATCTTTACTAGGCAGTGATGTCCGTGTCTTGGGCCTGTTTAATCATAGGAAGGATACACGGGTACGCGACCCTGGTCCTTCGAGCCAACTCAATTCAATTCAATTCTTTATTTCATAAAAAAAATTATTGAAATCGTCTTTTATGTAGACTCAGTCATAGATCAACACACACAATAGCAACAATCTCTGTTTTGTCAAATAGTTAGGAATTTTATTTTAATAAAAATTATGCTTATACAAAATCTATGATATGGTTATGCCGATCTTCAACCGCCCGTTTCTAAGGGGTTGATAATAATAAAAAATGAGAAGAAAGGGCAAACAAACTCATGGCCACTCTTTTGCAATTTACAGGTA